TAAACCAGGGTTTAGGTTAATTTTAAACCAGTTTTCTTTGGGTTTAGAGGGTCAATATTGGTTTAAACCAGGACTAATATTGGGTTTTTCTGGGTTTAGTGGGTCAATATCGGTTCAAACTAGGGTTTAGATTAATTTTAAACAAGTTTTAATTGGTTTAGTGTGACTTTTTGGGTTTAAAGTAGGATCAGGATTAGTTATAACAGGGTTTCTCTGGGTTTAGTAGGTCAATTTTAGTTTAAACCAAGATTTTGATTAATTTTAACCAGTTTTCGTTGGTTTTAGTTGGTCAATTTTTATTGGGTTTTGGGACGTGTTTTCTTTAAACCTGGATTTAGATTAGTTTTGAAGTGGTTTTTATCTGTTTTGGCTTGGTTTTTTATGGATTTTGGGAAGCCTTTTTCTTGGTTTAAGCCGTATTTTAAGCCTTTAGATGTTTTTTGGATCTTAAAGAATCTTCTTTTTTCATTTAAACAGGATTTAGGTTCATTTTAAACCAGTTTTCATTGGGTTTCGGGACGTGTTTTCTTTAAACCAGGATGTAGATTAGTTCTGAGCTGGTTTTTGATGGATTTTGGGAAGCTTTTTTCCTGGTTTCAGCCGGTTTTAGGCCTTTAGTTTGTGTTTTTTTGTCATCTGGTGTTGTTTGAGCCCTGTTCTGTGGCCCGTTGCTGCTTTCTTTCCCTGTAAAGTCCATTTCTCCCCCTCTCCTCTCCCTCTCTTCCAAACCTTCTCTTTACTCATGTTTCTCTTCCCTGTGAGTCTGATTTCAGCCACACAATGCGTCCATTTTCTGTGCTGTGCTCCGTAATGATCCTGCTCAGAAAAACAGCCGTTTATTTCTAGGCAGAAGCTGACAGATCCACTGCTCTGTTGTGTAAGCGTTGGGAGGAATTCGGCCCAACATGCAGATTGGATCCATTAGTGAGAGCCGCTGCCAAACCTCATTAACTTTTCCTCTGATTTCAAATCTCCAGCCCTCTACTCCTCCTCCTCCTCCTCTTATTCCTCCCTCTGAGAGCTAAGGTGGCAGGGCCCCCGCCTGTTTTCTATTTTTCTAAATAAGTTATATAAAATGTAACAAAATAAAATAAAAATAAGAGAAAATATAATTGAATAATAATATCAATGAGACTTCTACTGCATTAATAGAAATAAATATAAATAAGACAAAAATAAATGTAAAAAACACTGAGAGCTCTAATGCAGTAATATAAATAAATACAATTTAAATAAGAGAAATGTATATTTAAAAATAGCAACAATGACACTTCTACTGTATTAGTAGAAATAAAATTGTAGAAATAAGAGAAAAATATGCTTAGAAAATTATAACAATCAGAGCTCTACTGCCTTAGTAAGAATATAAAAAAATAAAAATAAGAGAAAATATATTTTGAAAATAGTTACAATGAGACTTCTACAGCATTAGTAGGGAAAAATAACTAAAATAAAAATAAGAGAAACATATTTAAAAATGGTAACAATGACAAATCTACTGGATTAGTATAAATTAAATAAAAGAAGAGCAGATATATTTAAAAAAATAATAGTAATACGTAGTAATGAGACTTCTACTGCATTAGTAGAAATAAATAAATAGTAAAATGTAAATAAGACAAAAATAAATTTAAAAAAGTAACGAAATTTCTAATGCATTAGTATAAATAAAACAAAAAGAAAAGAAAATTTAATTTTAAAAATAGTAACAATGAGCCTTCTACTGTATTAATAGAAATATAAAAATAAAATGAAAATAAGAGAAAAATATATTTAGAAAAATCATAAAAATGAGACTTCTACTGCACTGGTAGAAATAATTAAATAAATAAAAAAAACAAAAGAAAAATATATAATAAAAATAGTACAAATTAGACTTCAACTGCATTAGTAGAAATATAAAAATAGGACAAAATACATTAAAAAAAATAGTAACAATGAGGCTCTTACTGCATTGCTATGGCTGAATGAGTAACTGGAACTGATGTCCCCCCCTAACCCCGGTCTAGGGTCCTAACCCTGGT